TTCCCTCCCGGGGCACTGACAGGTGGTGGCTATACCTGCCAGGCACACTCCTTCCAGTATATTCCCCATACTACTATGTCCACCTCTTCTCACTCCCCCTCATAGAAACATGGCTGAAATGTCCCCACAAGGCCAACACACACACTCTAACGAGCAAGGGACATGATAAATGAAAAGCATTTCAAAGCAGAGCCTGGTGTTGTTACCTCAGATCTTGCTAGAATAACACGACATTTATAAAAACACAACCCACTCGATATTTGGCACTGCTAGGGAATGAAGAATGTGCCCACTTAAGAACCTAGAAAGGCTGTCAAAGAAATCTCAAGCCAGAATTTCTTGTCTAAACATTACCTATCTTTAAAAATTCTATAGTCTAGGCAGTAAAGAAAATATCTCTACTTATTTACCAGTCTCCCTTTGCCTAAACATAAAAAAAAAACATAAGCTATATATAAGAACGAGTGAAATGCTTAGGGCAGGCACATTGATGGAACAGCTCTGTGCATTTGGCTAAAGCCTCCACACTGCCAGCCTTGGCCTGGATCACCTTTGTCCCCAATACACACCTACACAGAGCTCACACACCACTCATGCTGGTCACCCCAACACACACCCACACAGAGCTCACATACCTATAATGCTGGCCACCCCAACACACACCTACACAGAGCTCACGCACCACCAATGCTGGCCACCCCAGCAAACACCTACACAGAGCTCACACACCACCCATGCTGGTCCCCCCAACACACACCCACACAGAGCTCACATACCTATAATGCTGGCCACCCCAACACACACCTACACAGAGCTCACGCACCACCAATGCTGGCCACCCCAGCAAACACCTACACAGAGCTCACACACCACCCATGCTGGTCCCCCCAACACACACCCACACAGAGCTCACATACCTATAATGCTGGCCACCCCAACACACACCTACACAGAGCTCACGCACCACCAATGCTGGCCACCCCAGCAAACACCTACACAGAGCTCACACACCACCCATGCTGGTCCCCCCAACACACACCCACACAGAGCTCACATACCTATAATGCTGGCCACCCCAACACACACCTACACAGAGCTCACGCACCACCAATGCTGGCCACCCCAGCAAACACCTACACAGAGCTCACACACCACCCATGCTGGTCCCCCCAACACACACCCACACAGAGCTCACATACCTATAATGCTGGCCACCCCAACACACACCTACACAGAGCTCACGCACCACCAATGCTGGCCACCCCAGCAAACACCTACACAGAGCTCACACACCACCCATGCTGGTCCCCCCAACACACACCCACACAGAGCTCACATACCTATAATGCTGGCCACCCCAACACACACCTACACAGAGCTCACGCACCACCAATGCTGGCCACCCCAGCAAACACCTACACAGAGCTCACACACCACCCATGCTGGTCCCCCCAACACACACCCACACAGAGCTCACATACCTATAATGCTGGCCACCCCAACACACACCTACACAGAGCTCACGCACCACCAATGCTGGCCACCCCAGCAAACACCTACACAGAGCTCACACACCACCCATGCTGGTCCCCCCAACACACACCCACACAGAGCTCACATACCTATAATGCTGGCCACCCCAACACACACCTACACAGAGCTCACGCACCACCAATGCTGGCCACCCCAGCAAACACCTACACAGAGCTCACACACCACCCATGCTGGTCCCCCCAACACACACCCACACAGAGCTCACATACCTATAATGCTGGCCACCCCAACACACACCTACACAGAGCTCACGCACCACCAATGCTGGCCACCCCAGCAAACACCTACACAGAGCTCACACACCACCCATGCTGGTCCCCCCAACACACACCCACACAGAGCTCACATACCTATAATGCTGGCCACCCCAACACACACCTACACAGAGCTCACGCACCACCAATGCTGGCCACCCCAGCAAACACCTACACAGAGCTCACACACCACCCATGCTGGTCCCCCCAACACACACCCACACAGAGCTCACATACCTATAATGCTGGCCACCCCAACACACACCTACACAGAGCTCACGCACCACCAATGCTGGCCACCCCAGCAAACACCTACACAGAGCTCACACACCACCCATGCTGGTCCCCCCAACACACACCCACACAGAGCTCACATACCTATAATGCTGGCCACCCCAACACACACCTACACAGAGCTCACGCACCACCAATGCTGGCCACCCCAGCAAACACCTACACAGAGCTCACACACCACCCATGCTGGTCCCCCCAACACACACCCACACAGAGCTCACATACCTATAATGCTGGCCACCCCAACACACACCTACACAGAGCTCACGCACCACCAATGCTGGCCACCCCAGCAAACACCTACACAGAGCTCACACACCACCCATGCTGGTCCCCCCAACACACACCCACACAGAGCTCACATACCTATAATGCTGGCCACCCCAACACACACCTACACAGAGCTCACATACCTATAATGCTGCCACCCCAACACACACATAAACAGAGCTCACGCACCACCAATCCTGGCCACCTCCAATCCCAGCACACACTGAAAGGGGTTATTTACGGATTACTTTCTCAGATACCAGCCAAACGATGTTCCCGTTCACTTTGTCACCCGCCTTAGATTATACAGCATTTAACACCTGGGTGGGTTCACTCAGCCCCTAAGGCATACACCGAGGGTGAGCAGTCACCAAGGTGTTCTCCACAAGCAGAAAGGATTTGCCAGCCTCCCTCTGAGGTCTGGGCCCTGAAAGACCAACTGAGGCACATTTGAGTTTCCATCAGGCCTGGTGCTTGCTGGCTGCTGTGAGGTTAGGTCAGAATCCCAGGGCCCCGCTGTCCTATAAACATCTCAGCCTTCTGTTGGGAGCTGCTCACCGAAGCCTTACGTCTTGGAGCTGAAAATATGCTATTTGAGAACCGCAGGATGAATGTTTGCTGACACTTGGAGCACAGCTGACCCCTCTCATCTCCAGACCAGCGATTGCTCTACAAAAGCATGTACATTCACAGGAACATAACAAGAACAGAAAGAAAGGCCCAGCTTTTCCTCACCATGTGCCACCCAGCCATGTTTGCACTGGTCGCAAGTCCGCAGGTTAATCTTCCCCGGCTGAAAACACTCGCACGTGCAGTTTACCAGTGTGCAACGGATGGCCTGGAAAGTAAAGGAGGGAAAGGAGCGTCAGCATCTGTTCGAAGGTACATTTCTTCCACATTTTACTAAGGAGCAACCACTTCTAGGTTTAAAGCCTTCATGTTGGGAGGGGCCTGGAGAGGTTTCTGATACCATCAAAATCTCATACAAATGTAAGAAAAACAAGGTTCATTCACTAAGAGAGTATTTCATGCCATTCATGTGTAACCTTTAAACGAAAAGCATAGAGTAGAGTAAGAATACAGGATGACTTATCCTACAAGATGCTGGATTTGTAACACCAGGGTCCAAAAGAGGAAAAAAAAAATTGCTGCTATTCCCATGTAAGTTCATCCATTTGGCAGTAATGCAAAAATTATACATTCAAACAAGATAATGTTCAAGTGAAATGTTGATGAAAGTAAAACAAAACATACAAATGTTATTAGAATATTATTGTTCTGCTGAGTTTCACTTAAATACTTCGTTAATCTTTCAGAGACATGTTGAAAGACACTCCCATTGGCCCAATAAGACCTAGTATACTGTATACCTCCAGTATGATTTATCACTTCCCAATTCCTTGTTTTCCCCCACTTGATATATTTATTCCACTTTCATTCCTATTTTGACAAATATAAAACAACCCTCCCTATATTTTAACAGTGATACAAGAAAATAAGTCTAAATTTATTTTAAGAACAGATGTAGACTAGGAAAAGCCATTTATGGGAACATTTTATATCTGGAACTACCCAACTGTATCTTAGAAAACTTAAAAACACACTAAAAAATCTTTCATTTCTTTACAAGTATTATTAAAAAATCATCTCACCAATTTATATTATCAAGTGAATCCATAGAAAATTAGCATAAATGAAGTGTAACTTTTTTTATGGATAAAAACCTATACTTAAGAAGTGTGCTAAAGCTGACCTATGCTCCTAGACTACAGTTAATAAATTTACCTCACACATTTCCTTCTAATTTGTATGGAAATTCTGAAGACAGAAGGGATTTTGTCCGATCATTCACAGATTAACAATCTACTGTAACTACCTGAACTGCCAGGAAAATCTCTCTCTGCAGCTTCACATATAATCAATGATTGCCGATTTGGGGGAAAGTGGGGGAGGGGGCAGAGGAGCTACCTGCAACTGCAATTCTGTGCCTCCAAGCTATGCTCACTTGCACCCCCAGGTGCTCATCTTCCTGGAATCATTTGGAGTTCTACATAAACTGCCTCATTTGTAACAGACAGGATTTGAGATTTCATTAATATGATTGGACCAAATTCCATTTACAGAGGCCAAGACTGAACAGGCTTTTACTGCTCCCTATGCTTTGGATCGGGCAAGTTTAAAATAGTTTTCTTTCACTAATGACAATTACATCTATAGGCCCCTATTCAGTTTCTGATGTTAAAGACCTCACTGAAGACTGCTTTCCTACTTCAATTCCACCCCTAATTTGCTCCTCTATTACCACTAGGGAAATACTGAACTGTATAATCTGCATGATATTTCAGGGTCTCTCTTCCACTGTCAACAGTCCAATTATATATGAGCTAGGTTGTCAGACTTGGCTGTATGCATTCGTAATTAAAGGAACTAGTATTAAGAAATAAAGACACCAAAAGAAATGCTAACTAGGCAAGAATACTATATGTATGTGTAGGTAATAAGGGGAAATGTTTCTCCCAAAATTTCTTATCTCAACTTCAATAGTTATCGACTGAATGATATATTAGACCATCTCAGGTTAGAAATAGCTTCTTTAAATAACATGATCATTAGTTAACGAACTCACAACTTGACTGAACTACGGTCAAAACAAAACAGTTTAGAGAGCAGTGTTTCTACTAAAAACAAGGCACTGTACAAACTATCCATTTAGAAATTCAGATATGGCAAGAATTTAGCATTAAAATATTTACATAATCTGAAGTGTGATAATAAAAGCTTCCATAAATTCTGAAAACCCCCCAAAAACCCTGTGTTACCAAAATTAAAGGATGACCAACAGAAAGAGATGATCTCTCAAGGACTATATGTTAACTAACTCAGGCACAAAAGACATACATATTTTACATAATTAATTTGATAACATTTAATTATTTTATAAAAATAGCCTAATTTTTCCTGGGGTTTAAAAAGTACACTTTTTAGTTATAACTATATTCAGGACCTGAATAAATCAAGAGATTGTGGAATTTTTTTATTTTTACGTATACTTATTTATTCCCTGGTTGAATCACTGGTTCACTTACTCTAAACTCACTTATGATTCAAATATTTTCTCTTCCTAAATAACTTTATATGTCTGGCACATTTGGGAATTAAACTTCTCAGATGATCATTTCTTTATAAATTCTACTTTTTTTGTACCTAAGCATACAAACATTGGAACACCTCAACTCCTCTTGTATATAAACATTTAAGTACTGGAATATCCTTTTTGTATTTCTATGAATTCCAGAAGGTCTATTTGTTTTAAGTCCAGATTTATATACACTACAATTGTTCCTTAAGGGAATTATATATATTTAAACAATATGGTCTAAATAAATATTTTGAGTAAGAGAATATTGTGGCTTCAAAGGAAGTTTTATTCTAAATAACATTTTTGAAATGACATAAAACTTTGACACACTATTTACTCACAATAAAATAGAACCAATGTGATCACTCACCAACTCTCCCACACTTAAAAAAAATAAATTATCATAAAACTATCAAAGGCAGTTAAGCCTCAAAAAAATGTACATGCTTTCGAAGGAGACAGTTGGGAAGAGCAGAAATAAGTGAGCTTTGCTTCCTTTGAGCACATTCATTTCTTTCTTCCTTCAGCTAACCTGTGAGTGCTGCCCACTCACTGCTGGGCACTATAACTATAGAAAATTCAGAGAGGCCGACAACGTGTCAGAAACAGGACACCAAAGAAAGTACAGACAGTTTAGTCAGACTGTTCCCATGCCTCCAGGACCCGGATTCATCAGAGTGCCCTGTAATTCTTTCCTCCATTCTCACATGACCAGCATTCCCAACTCCCCGTGAACAGTAACAACAATAACAACAATAATAAACTTTCTTAAGCCTGCAACATATTAAAAGTAGTATTTCCTACCGCTTACCTTTACCATGGAGTTCTTGAAAGGGAAATCCATGCACCCAGCACCCAACTGCTTCCACTTCCTCACCGCCACCTACATGCTAATTTTGCAATTGGAATTCTGCAACTGAAACCGCTGCCTCCAAGAGGAATGTTCTCCTCACCTCTGGTCCCTTTTCTGGGCTCCTTGTCCTCCCAGACCTCAGAGCAGCTTGCAGCACTAACTTTCCTCCATAGAGACCAACTATCCTAGTTTTTCTGGCAGCCACTTCCCAGTCTCTCTCCACTGTAAATAAATACAGGTGTTTCCCATGACCAGGCTCTTCGCTTTTTAATTTGGCAATTCCATCCCCTCCTACGGCTTCAAATATCATCACTATGCAAAAATCATCCCGTTAAAGCCACGTACTATGTCAAGTGGCAGGAAATAGATGGCAGAGTCCTTGTGCTCAAGGACTTCATGGTCAGAGTTTGTGGGCGGTGGGTTTAGAGGAGAGACCTAAGAACAGGAGGAAGCGCTTAAACAGGTCTGAGAAGCACTGTCTCTCCCTGTTTATTCCTGTCTTTTATTAAATCAAACCAAAGGCAGGGCTTTTTAAAACTTATTTTTAACAGTGAACGATTGGTATTATTCATAATAGTCAGATTTACTGGATAATTGGCATTTTCTAGATCCTGTGCTAAAAAATTTACACACATTAACTTACTTAATCCTCAGAAAATACCACTAGGTTGGTACTATTATCCCCTTTATTTTACAAACAAGGAAACGGGGGGCGGGGGAGAGCGGGAGGGAGACCCTTAGGTACCTTGTCTAACATTGCTCAGTAGTAAAGTCACAGGAATTAGACGCAGCAGGTGGATGTGAGCTCTCTATTCCTGATTGGAAACCTTGAGTTACTATCTGATTCCCAGTTAGGCAGTCATGGACCTGTACATGCCCACCATCAAACCCCCACTGTGTATTATTACCTCCTGCTCATCTCTCAGATTTCAACTCAAATAGTACTTCCATTCCCCAGGTCAGGCGTCTAAGTCAGCAGGCGGACATCCCCCAACGGGTCCCGGGCTGCAAGAGGGCACAGGCTGGGCTGAAGGACCCCTCCGCTCCCACTAGCCAAGTGCACAAATTTCGTGCACCAGGCCTCTAGTTATGTTATATTTATACATCTGTCTGATTTCTTGATTAAGGTCTGTCTTCCCTTCTAAATATATAAATTCCATTAGGGCAGGGCAAAACGCCCATTGGCCAAATAACAGGTGCTCAAGGGCACTTAAAGGAAAACAAAGTTCTCTGAGTCCCTCTCCTCATCTGTCAAATGACAGTAACAATAACATCCCAAGAGTGTCAAAAGACTTAAATGAAATAATGAATATCAGGCATGTGGCACTATGCCTAGCAATAGTAAAAGCTCAATAACTGAAAACCATTTATGACCTCAAGAAACTTTCCACATATAATATTTGAATTAATTTTTCCTTATGATTATTCCCAATGTATTAAGTTTTTCCTACACCTTATAAAATGCTTAACACATATTTAGTCGTAATTAATAAATGAACACTTTGACACACATGAGACCATATTATTCATGCTATAATCATCTACAATGGGTATGACAGGGATTATTAGTTTTAATACCTGGGTTCAGAAATGTTTATATGCCTCTTAAATGATAGGGTGGATTTCCCAATTATTAATCAGTTTATTTCTATTACTCATAGAAAAAGGAAAAGAAAACATACAATTAAAACCAGTATATTATAAATACTCACATTCGAAGTATATCTCAAATACATAAAATAGGGCAATTTAATAGAAAAATATTTCTGTTTTGGTCAGTAACACTTTTGTATTTGAATATTAAATAAGAGTGCATTTGAAAGTATTCTGGATGATTTCCAAAGCC